TAATTTCAAATATGAAAAAAAAAAAGTTGATGCACTCAGACATTGGCCAAGCAGAGACAACGCAAATGCTATTAGTCATGGGTTCCATCCCTGGCATCTGCAGTAGACAGAGATACATTTACAGGGTGAGAGGGGATGGCAGCGTGTGTATAGATCTAAAAGGCTCATCAGCATGATGAAGAAAAGGTTGATTCCTTTCATATGGCTGCAAGCTTACTTAAGTGAGATATGCCTAGCTATTTACTGGATACCCAACTGTATCTTCATGCCCAAAAACCACGATAGTAACTCTCTTTCTGCCCTTTGCTTCTTTAAAGCCTAAGCTTGGCAAGGCTGACACCATATCAGCATGGACTCCAACACAGCTTGTAGAAGCAGTTTATACCCCATAAAAGAGCATCAGTGAGGCAGAAGTTCTAAGTCACCTTCAGCTGGTCTTTGCCTGCTCTGTAACTATGGCTACTCCCAAGAAGGAAGCATACTCCAACAATCCACCAGGCCTTCCTCATTTCTTCACCCCTAACAAGTGCTAAAGGGCCAAAGAAAGTAGAAATTACACATGCACAAAAATACTTCATAACCATTTAAATAAATAAGCAGCCTATTATGGAGAAGCACAAAGCTGGTTACAGACTTGTAAACCAGTGTCCACAGTGAGGCCCCACATTCCAGTCTTCAGTGAATCAAGCTGCAGTGTGCATGGAACAAGACCTCATCATCCCCTTTTGAAACCCAAATGCAGCTGCATTCACAGAACAGGTTTTCAGTGGCGGAAACTCCAAAACCTCTATGAGGAATGGCAAAAGCATTCCTCCTAGAGACTATTTCAGTCATACCATCACAGCCAGTGTCCCAGACAAGTACTATGAAATCACCTTGCATGCTTATTATATCCAAGCATCCCAGGGTTTTTACTCCAAAGATGCCTACAAAATTGGGAGGTAGGGCTGTTTGCATTTGACTTTGAAAACACCATGTTTCCTATTAAAATTTGGGAGGGATGATAAAGCTTGTAAGATGCTCCTAGCTAACCCCAAATTCCTGAAGTTGCTAAGTCTGAATCTGTAAAGAAATCTGTGAATATCAAAGTGTTCTCTGTGGCTTCCTGTGGGCCCCCAAAAGCTCTCCTTGACCATAATGGTGGGATCAAGGTATTTGGGAAAGAGTGAACTTTCCAGGGGAATCTAAGTGAAGCAGAGGGAGATAGGTCTGGGATGGCAGGGTCTGCGGTGTGGTAGACAGTGGTCTTCAGTTTTCAAATAGCCACCTGAATGTCCTTGACTAAGTCATCTGCACACTTACAGTCTCTGCTTCCCTCACTTGTGAAATGAGGTGTTGGGACTGGTCTCCACCAGCTGTACAGCTCTGATTCTCGAGGTAACAGTCCATTGCTCTGCTGGCTAGACTGCCTCGGTAATCAGAAGGAACCAATTATCAGGGCAGCTGGGATACTCTACTTATGGTTTCAAATCTAGATTTTTTTTTAACAGTAGAGGGAAGAGCTTGAACCCCTTTCACTGTGCTTTGGAATATAGTTGAAGAATCTGGGATTTGCAGATGTCACATCACTATTAAATTACAAGCTCATTAGATGTAGGCAACATGAGGCTGCCTGGCTGGTTCTGCTTGCAGCCCAGTGTTCGGCCGGCTAGCTTCAGGCTGTACTCTCCCTAGAAGCTGCTTCCATTCCCAAATAAACCACGATGTGGCTTTTCTGTGTCTCATTAAATACAGCCTACATCACAGCTGTGCTTTACAGGCCTAAGGGTTATTGATTTTCCAGGCACCTAATCCAGAAGCCACCTGAAGGTCTTTGTGAAAATGTGCCCAGGATAAAACATTTTCAGGAGTCCTGTGAGAGTTGTTCAAGAAAGCCTGTGTCCACACACCTACCACCTGCTTCCTATTTTATCAAATGAGGACTCTGGAGTGAGGAAGAGCCTAGCGAACCCACCTCTGCCCCAATCACTTTATAGTCTGTGTTGGAGCCTCATTTGCACAAGCACTCTATCAGTCTGGCTCTAGGAAGAGAGAGCAAACCACCTCTAGTGTAAATGCTTATACATGGCAGGTAATTACCCAAGCCACCTGGCAGTACAGAGATGTCCAGGTAATAACCACAGACACCACACTGCCCCACCCCTCCCCCAGGTATGGAATCTTTGCATCACTCTGGGTGGCATTCCACCACTCTTCCTTTGCTCCAGGGTCTTGTTTGTACCAGCCTGTCACACTAGGTGAGACTTCAGATCACATTCTAGCCAACAGCCAATCCAGGTACAGCCAGCGCTAGAGCTGATCCACTCCCTATAGCTGCATCCCACTTGTACCATGTCAATAGAGTAAGTCTCTCAAGAGTTGCTCCTTCTGAGGGATGCCATCCTAGGTCCACAGCTAAAGACAAAACAGCTGGTCCCAAAACATCAGCCATCCCCCTCCATGCTACTGTGTGCCATGGCAAGGTGACCATGACCAGCTCTTCCTCTTTCCTTGCTGCCAGAGCTACTCAGGTCCCATGTGGATTTAAATCTCTACTCCCTGTTTTCCTCCATTGTCTCTGGAATCCCAGTATTCATCTATAAACCTCCACACTTTGTAGAGCTGGCGTTCTAGGTCACAAACTGAAGATGATCCTAAAGGCCTGTTTAATCTTAACTGTTAACACTGTGAATTGAGATTGAAAGGGAATCACAGCTCTGAGTGTCCAGTTTTCACATCATAGCCAAGCATGACTCATTTCTCCAGTTAGGCTTTGTGAAGTGATTTCATGGGCACATGCAAGTATGTATGTGTGTACACACACAGAGGCACATGCGCAGGCACACATGCACACATACATTGTGTATTGAAGTCTAAGAAATGGGCTCAGACTTAAATTAAGATGCTGGTGCTCAAGCAAATCGGAAACATAGGGGAGGAGAGAGGGAGTTAGGAGGAAGAGGAGGGGAGAGGTGGGCATGAGGGAGCAGGAAGATTGAGTCAGGGAAAGAATAAAGAGAAAGAAAAGAGATACCATAATAGAGGGAGCCATTATAGATTTAAGGAGAAATCTGGCACTAGGAAAATGCCCAGAGATCTACAAGGATGAACTCAACTAACAATCTAAGCAATAGTGGAGAGGCTACCTTAAATGTCCTTCCCTGATAATAAGATTGATGACTACCTTATATGCTATCCTAGAGCCTTCATCTAGTAGCTGATGGAAGCAGAAACAGATACCCACAGCTAAACACTGAGGCAAACTCCTGGAATCCAATCACAGAAAGGGAGGAGTGATGAGCAAAGGCATCCAAACCAGGCTGGAGAAATCCACAGATCAGCTGACCTGAACAAGGGGGAGTTCTTGATCCCCAGTCTGATAGCTGGGAAACCAGCATAGGACTGACCTAGACCCCCTGAATGTGGGTGTTAGTTAGGAGGACCTGGCAGTTTATGGGGCCTCTGGTAGTGGATCAGTATTTATCCCTAGTATACAAATGGACTTTGGGAGCCCATTCCACATAGAGGGATACTTTTTCAGCCTAGACACATGGGGAATGGCCTAAGCCCTGCTCCAAATGATATGACAAACTTTGGAGTCTCCCCATTTAAGGCATCACCCTCCCTGGGGAAGAGAAAGGAAATGGGCTGGAAGTTGGTTGGGGGGACAGGGGAGGAAGGGGGTGTGGTAACTGGGATTGACATGTAAAACAAGCTTGTTTCTAATTTAAATTTTAAAAAATATTATATAAAAAAAGGGTGTTGGTGCTCTTGAAAGAAGTTGTGGGGCACAGAGGTCCATGATCTCACAGACAAGTACTAGAGAAACAGGAATGTTAAACATACAGGATTGTCTCTTCAAGGGAGAGATGCATAACCTGTTTTCCATCCAGAAAGCTGGGAATGGAGGTGGCTAATAACCTGGCAATCTGTGCCATCTGTAGGACCAGGCCATACCATGTTTCCATAAGCAGGACAAGAGGTGGCTAACAGTCTAAATGACATTTGCATTATCTGTATGGCCAAGAGCTCCCCCAAATTCCGATGACTAGGACTGGAGGTAGCTAATAAGCCAGATGACCTCTACAATATCCGTATGACCTATTTAACACCCGATCTTCCCCTGGGCCCTTAAGATAACAAATGTACCCTATCTGTGTTTCTAGAAAGCATCTCCATGGAAGAAGTGACATATATGGAATTTGTTACACCAGGAAACTTTTTTCCAAACTGTACTATCTTAAATATGCTTAAAACAAACTGCCTGGTGTCAGACTCTAGCTTGAACCAACACAGTTTTGAGTGGTGTTGAACCGGGTTTCCTTCTTGCCTTGCATGGATCATTACCCTGCTGTCCCTGACACTTTCCCAGACCCCCATGAGAAGTGAAGTGAAAGCTAAGAGGACAAAGAAGTAAGTCTATACATACAGTCAGACTCCTCGAATAAAATTCTCTCTGGGAGAATAAATTTAATACAGCTAAAACATCACATCTGAGAGAGAGAGAGAAAAAAAAAGAGTCAGTGTTCTGAGCAGAGCTAAAGTGCACACAGGACAGGAAGTCATTGCAGCCAGCGGCCTCAGACCCGGACAGGGTGTCAAGGTTTGCTGTACCAGTACTGTCCAGAGAAACACAATGTTGGATTGTGTAGACACTGTGCATGCAATGTGTATCTATGTGTACACCTGTGCTCCTGGGAAGGCCAGAGGAGCCTGGTTGTCTTCCTCCATCACTTTCTAGCTTATTCCCCTGAGACAGTCTTCTACTGAATCTGGAGCTCAGGTTTTACCTTCTCGGCTGACAGCCAACAAGCCTCATTGGCCGGACTGTCCAGCACTGGGCTTCCAGGCACATGTAACCACACATGGCCTTTTGTGTGGATGCTGCTGGCCCAAGCTCAGGTTCTTATGCTTGCACATCAGGCAAGCACTCCTCCACATTGAGCCTCTCCCCGACCCTTTGCCAGCATTTCTGGGTAGGAAAGGCAAAGCCCCATGAAGGGTTTTGGCAGAGTCCCTACCTGGTCATCATAGCGATATGTAAGGAACTGTTCCCCCGTGGTGTCTTCAAGGAAGCTTCCCTGAGGAGACAGCGCAAACTCAGGAAGGAAGTAGGCTCCAGGAGACTTCTCTGCTGCAGCCTGAAAGGCAAGGTTACTTGATCACAAATAAGACACTGGGAAGGCTCCTCTAAGAGTCAGAGTCCAAAAAGACCCCACTACGAACACTCTCCTACCAAAAAGAGAGAAGAGGCCTCTGAGCAAGGAGCAACGTGAAACACATCAGCCATCAGTGCTTGGACACTTTATATCAGGATATCCCAAACTGGCACACATGCCCCCTTCTCCCTCCTCCCCCCTCTGTGCTCCACATTCCAGCAATAGAGGCACATTACCATTACTTGCTCACGTTTTTAAGATCGCAAAGCCATTGCTTTCGGGGAGGGGGGCTTTCTTTTCCTTTAAAAGCAAATCTGTCTTATGTTTGTCTATGTACCTCCTGGCTCTGTATATGAATGTGTGTCACTTATATACAGGTGGCCATGACTGTCTGTCTGTCTGTCTGTGTGAAGGTATGTTACACCTATGTAGGTACTTGAAAGCCTGTGTGTCTGTTATACCATGTATATGTAGGTGACTCAGGAGGCCAGAAGAGAGTGTCAGATCCCCTGAAGAGAGAGTAACAGGTAGTCATCAGGCCTGTTACTGACATGGAGAGAGGAGCAGGACTTGGGTCCCTAGAACAGCAAGCATTTTTTTTTCCTTTTTTTTTTTTTTAATGATGATCTTTTTTCCCTTTTTAAAATATAAATTTTTATTTAAATTAAAAACAATCTTATTTTACATACCAATCTCAGTTCCCTCTCCCTCCTGTCCTCCCATGCCCCCCATCACACCCCCCCCATCCACTCCTCAGTGAGGGTGAGGCCTCCCGTGGGGGGTCATCAAAGCCTGTGACATCACTTGGGGCAGGACCCAGGCCCTCCCTGTGTATCTAGACAGCAAGCACTCTTAACTGCTGTTCCATCCCTAGAATTCATTTTCTTTCATTCTTTCACTCCTTCCTTCTTTGTTGCCTTCCCTTACTCCTTCTTTTTCTTTTTTATGTGAAAGACTGGAGAAGTTTTTTCCCCACATTGCAAACAGGATGTGTGCTCACTACAGGAACTTTAGAAAATGCAGAGCAGACTGTTTTAAAAGATAACAAAAGGTTACCCACAATCCCTACAACCCATAATAATGACTTTTAATTATTTTACCATATTTCTGCTGAGGCTTCTTTTTCTTTTATCACAGAACTTTGTGTGTTTTCATAATGACCCTTACTTAAATAACCTTGCCAAAAGTTTATTTGTTCATGGGTCTAAGGCCCCGTTTGTGCCTTGGGAAACTCGCCCACTTTACTTCCTCAAACACCCTAAGACCACACTCCCAGATGTGGTACTGCTCACAGTGGTCTGGGACAGATAGATAGATAGATAGATAGATAGATAGATAGATAGATAGATAGATAGATAGGTAGGTAGGTAGGTAGGTAGGTATTTGCATGCAAATCATTGGTCTGAAGCACCAGTGCAATGGCCAGGGTTCTTCAAGAGTCAAGACATCTCCTATGGAATTTGCCTCTGGTAAGATGCACCTGGATTCACTCCCATCGTGCCACCCAGTGCACACTGGCAGAGCCAGCCAAGAGCTGCTGAAGGGTGTGGAACACTGTCCAGAATACCTGCCTTGATTCTGCCAAGGAGTTGGCAAAGGAAGTAACATTCCCCATGTTCAGTCTAATCCACTCAACACATAGAAACAATGGCCACACACACCTGGACTGGGACCACGCCTCCTGCGTGGGGAGGAGTAAGTATGAAATAGAGGAGGAGATCACAGGAGTTACTGCAGAGAAAGTGCTGAGACAGAACAGTAGGAGAAAAGATTCTCCTGACAGCTCTGTTGACCCAGGGATCACCTTCCCATAGTGAAGTTCGAGCTTTGGTTACAGCCAAAATCAGGGACTGGGGATGGAGCTATGTTGATGAATCATTGTCTGGTTTGCACCAAACCCTGGATTGGATTCCCAGCACCAAACAAATTGGTTCCGTGGTGAACATCTGTAATCCCAGCACTCGGGAGGTAGAGGCAGGAGGATCAGAAATTCAAGAATATTCTTGGCTATATAGCTACTTCAATCAATCAATCAATTTTATTTGAACAATAAACTTTGAAAAGAAAAACAAGCACACAATAGTTTAGTCAAGGGACATGGAAAAGATAACTCTACTAAACTGGACAGCACCAGAACCCCCCCCCCAGAAAAAAAAAAGAGCTGTAAGATTTCACAAATTTCATTTTAAGTGAAATTTAAACTGTTATTAGAGATTTAACACCACTGTCTTTGTTTGCTTTCTACTGCTGTGACAAAACACATTCTGACCAAAATCGGCTTGGAGAAGAAAACACTGATTTTAGTGGAAATGTCTAAGTCAGAGTCCATCATGAAGAGAAGTCAGGACAGGGGCCTGGAGGCAGGAACTGATGCAGGGGCACAGCTGCTTACTGGCTTGTTCTGCATGGCTTACCTAGTTTATTTTCTTATACACCCTAGGAACGCATTCCCAGATGTGGCACTACCCACAGTGGTCAGGGCTACCCCATATTTGATCACACTCACACACACACAAAGTTTTCATTTGCCTTAATTAAATGAAATCAACCTAGGATCAGGAGGTGGAGCCAGCAACTACTTGACAGAAAGTAATCATAGAGAGTCAGGGGGAGTAAAAAAGATGGATAGAGATTCACAGGAAGTAGTAGGAAGGGACTTTGAATGTGGCAGTATTTTGGGGGTTGGTGGAGCTGAAGGACACTCTCTTTCTGAGACAGCAGTGAAGAGGGAAGGTCAGATAATTGCTTCTCAGCAAGTATTCACCCCAGCCTCTGACTCCTGGTAAATAGAAAGATAGAGCTTTAGTTAAAATTACATTCGGTGGCAGTGGCAGGAGGTGGATCCAATCGATACCTGAGAAGCAAGCCAGTAACCATGGAGGCGCAATAGAGTCAGGTGCAGCCACTGTGCTGACAGAAGAAAAAAATAACATAAAATTCCCCACAGACCTACCCAGGAGTGAGTTTTATGGAGGCAACTCCTCAGCAGAGGTTCCCTGTTCCAAATGACTCCAGTTTGTGTCAAGTTGGAAAACAAGTACCAAAAGATCAGCTAACACAATAGTAACTACTTTTTATTAAGTTTTAATTATTTTATGTGTGTATATGAGTTAGCAAGCAGGTGCCACAACACAAATGTGAAGGTCAGAGGACAACATTTTGGAGTTGGTACTCTCTTGGGTCTTGGGGATCTAACCCAATTATCAGCCTTGGCAATAAGCATTGTTGCTCACTGAGCCTTCCCTCCAATACTGTGTTCTCATTTGTTTCCATCCATTAGCTTCCAAACTCACGAAAGCAGGGTTCTGAAATTTGGAAGAGCCCTTAGACATCATCTAGGCCCAAACCCTTACTTTACAAATGGATAAGAAAAGGCTGAACATGAACATCCTCACAAAGCCAGGCCTAAACTAGAGTCGGAACATCTTCGGTCTTGGGCAAAGCATGGAGAGATCCATGTAGAACCTCTCAGTTTTTAGTGCTGTGAACACCATAAGAAACATGGTGGTTAAGATCCCTATAATCACGGAGGTTACCTTCTTTAGTAGAGAAGATGCATTACAAAAATAAGAGAGCAAACAAAAACATTAAACTTGTGTTATATCACCCAGAGTGATATAACAATAGATAAAAAAAAAGAGTGCTAGATTTTAAGTATGAAGGCCAGAAAAGCATGCCTGAAAAGAGAGAGAGATAGCATGGGGGAAAAAAGCAAGGATACATAATATGGTTGATAAAGGAAGAGTAATACTCAAAGCCCTCACTTGGAAAGGAAGTCAATGGACTTGAGGTACAGACAGAGAAGAGGGCAGTGTGGGTGGATGCAGTGTGGACCATGTGGAGAGGAGCATGTGATGGAGATCATGAGGAAGGAAGATGCAGGCTACCAAAGCCTTGCAGGCCACCAGCAAAGGGGTGGGGAACCATGAGTGAGCATTTGAACACTGACTGGTCTGTGGAGAATGGGGTAGAGGAGGCAAATTAGACTCAAAGACTAGCTAGAAGCTGTGGATACAAAACCCAAGCAAGATGTTGTGTTTCCTTGGGCTGGAGTCATTCTTTCAATAAGAAGGAGCCAACCACAAATGCTGAAAAGGAAGGGATCAGGGTGTGAGCAGTCTGGAATCTTCACTCTTTCCATCTCCCTCCCCATCACTGCCGCAGGGTTTGACTTGACCAGCTACCTGTAAAGGAACTCAGCGTTGGGTGGTCCTGAGGCAAGAACATCTATAAGAAACAATAACACACAAGTAGTGGTTTGATTCATGGAAAATCTGAAATGACCATGAAGAGAGCCTGAGGTCGGTGCTGCATAGCAAGACTAGAACTCAGAAGAGATTTGGAAGTTGTTGCTTAAATTTATGAATACACACACACACACACACACACACACACACACACACACATTTAATAAACATGTGTCATATAGAATGGGCTCCACTAAGTCAGTTTGTGCTTTAGTGTTAGGTCTCATATATTGTCCCAGCCGCATCATTGTCATCTATATTAAGAGAGTCTAGTTGGGTCTTATGCAGGTTCCCCATTTGTCAGACCTGAGTCATTGATCTCTCACTAGCTCTGGTCTTGACTCCTTTGTTCATATTTTTTCTCCTCCCTCACTTCAATTGTACTCCAGGAGTTTGGCCCATTGGCTAGCTGTGGATTTCTGCATCTGCTTTCATCTATTTCTGGAAGAGGCTTCTAGCTTCTCTGGGGTTGTGGGTTGTAGGCTTGGTATCTTTTGCTTTATGTCTGGTATCCACTTATGAGTGAGTACATACTATATTTGTCTTTCTGGTTTTGGGTTAGCTCATTCAGAATGTTTTTTTTTCTAGTTCTGCCCATTTGCCTGAGTATTTTAAGATGTCATTGTTTCTTGTCACTGAGTAGTACTCCATTGTGTAAATGTACATTTTCTTTACCCAGTCTTCAGTTGAGAGGGATCTAGGTTGTTTCCAAGATCTGGCTATTACAAATAATCA